ATTTTCATCCCAAATCCAACACACAGCACTAAACTAGCTATCAGGAAGAAAATTAACCCTATCGCAGCCGAAACCAGGACAAGAGATCACTCATCCACAGTAACATCCCAAGAGTGACCTGATCTGAGCCAGTCCTCCTCCACCAAGTTTTGGCAACTACGGTTAAAGTAACATTTATACAACATAAAAGCTTTTGGTTGTGGACACGATGTGTTTTCTCCTGCACTTACTTCATTACTTGTGCAGGAAACACAGAGGGATATAAACTTAGCTGAGGAGCAGCACTGCAGCCCTATGGTATCAAGACCCGTGTTTGGAGTCTATATGTTAAACCCATCCTATTCCTCTCTCCCAACAGTTAAAATGAACATTTTGCCATTTTTAAGGTGATACCTTAAACTAAACAGACATCATGAGGCTATTCTGTCATCTGGGTTAACATCCAGAACTTCAGTCTTCCTGCATAACTACACTGGCAATAACACCAGCTTGTGCACAACTTTTTGGCAGGTCACTGAAAAGCATCACACAGCTGTGAAATACTCATTTGAAATATACTCGTCGTTCCACATTCCCCTGCAAATCCTGCCATGCTCTCCCACCAACCTGTATCGAACAACCAACTTCAAGGCACTTCTGCGGCCACATCCCCAAGTTTTATACAGTAAAGTTTGCTGACTTTTGCTCTCGGTTCTCGGTAACCCATAAAACTAGTGTAGAGATACGTAGCTTTCAGGCTGGTTTTCTACTGAACTATTCATTCTTTAAGTAGGTCATATTTGGGAGTGACGTGTCTGCTAAATACCTTGCTGGCAGAACACGATGGCCCCTACTGCAATCTTGAAATTCATCTTACGGATTTAAACTTAACACACAAGTGGCTAATATAATGAGCATGCGTTCTACTACAGCAGGTTTTTTCATATCTAGCAGACGCTTCACAGCGGGTCCATACTCAACATCAGCTGGGCTTCAGTACATGCTTGCGACTAAAACCAGGGGAGCAGAGCAAAAGAAAATTAAATGTTTACCTTTGAGAGATCGGCCATGATTCTGCTGAAGGACTGAAGTTAGGTAGTGAGGGGACGCTGACCTACTGAAAAGAAATTCAACAGGTCAAAGCCAAGCCCTGATTAGCCAAACAATTTGTACAAAGCATAGTAGGCACAATATTATGATCATAGAAAGGTTAAAAAAAAAACCAACAACAACAACAACAAAAAAATCCCAAACCACCCAAACACCACAGTTTGGTGGACAAGCAATTTCTATTGCCCTCAGTTGATGGCTTGACACATTGGTTGATGGTTTATGTAGCTATAAGCCATCATCAGCATTTGGACACACACGCTAAGCAAAAGTCTTGTTGGCAAGAGATACGTCTACAGGTTTTATGTACCTGTCTAAAGGCTGGATTTTCAACAAAGATACATGTTTCTTAGTAAGTAAAACATACATGTGAACAAAACACTAGCTTATATAGGGATGCTCAGAGGCAAGAAGCAAGAGAATAGGGAAGGACCACTTGTGTCCACCTGCTCTTTGAAACAGTGGTGGGAGATTAACACGAACGAAAGGTAACGTCATGCAAAAAGCTGGGGAAGAACAAAAAAACCCTCCAAAAAACAAAACCAAACCAAAACAGAACCCCAAGCCAAAATATCTGCTGATTTTAAAGTTATCTGAAGCTGAACAGTTTTGGTGATGCTGTCTGCTTTTTTTGTGTTATCAGACCAGCTTTGCACCTGAAAAAGTACCGCTTAAATTAACACCTTACAGAATACAGGGCAAGTTGAAGCTTTCACATGGTGTTCTGCTACACAGCCAGCCCTAATTAATCAGTGCGTTGTAAAGGTACTAGCACACAGTTAGAAATAAATATATCAGAAATAGTACACAACTATTAAAATGGCATGAAACATAGCAATATGCATCTTTTATCGTATAGCTGCAAGAATGCAAAGGGTGACAAGCCCAACCTGTAACAGCAACCTCACAGGATTAATGGGGTGATTTCTATTATTAAGGTGCATTTACCTTTTATATTTATCACATTTAGGCAGCTCTCATTTCCAAAATAAGGCACAGTCACAAATCTCCCCAAAATCACAAAGCTGCCAAGTGCTTAAATTTTTTCTTTAATTACTTATCTAGATCATTAATTAAAACCCAAACAACGACTTCCGTTTTTAAAATACCTTTTTTAAACTGAAATCTTCATTCTTTCAGTTGAATTTTGAAGAAAATATTTTTCACTGGTCACTGGCTGCTGCTGTGGCTGCACGCATCTCAACAACTCTGAGATCAGCTACTCTGCCCAGCTCTTAATGAGGGATGCCCGTTTAATATTCCCGCTGCTCCAACTTGCTATCATATTATCCAGACTCAGCTGGATGGACATTGGTAACAGCTCCAAAGGCTGGTATAATGCAGGAGGGGGGAGAAAAAAAAAAAAAAAAAAAATCGAAGCAAAGTGGCTTGAAATGCACCATCTGAGCTACATGAGGAGCTCTCGCAGCGCTGCAGCCTGCCTGGCACTGGTAACCAAAGCTACTGAAAAGGAGAGTAATATTTAAGCATCTCCCAATGTGGTAACTGAAGGGAAAAAGATCCAATGCCATTGATCGCGGACACGCACAAAACTCGAGTTCACCGTCCGGTCTGTTTTCTTGTGGGTGTGATGGAGTGCAAAGGGAACAGATCCAAAAATGGGGAAAAAATTAAAAAGAATTAAAAAAAAAATCTCACAAGGAAAGCAATGGGCCCACCCCAACGTGGCTGGCTCTGCAGTCTGCAGGTAAATTGTACAAAGAGATGCTAAACACCTTCATCCTGTCATCTGAGCTCAGATCCTTCAACAATCGTATCCCCACAGAGCTTCCTTACAGCAAAGTAATGCTTAGTATTGATTAAGACAAGCTATGCATATGCATAAGGTATCTGCAAGAGGAGGACCACGGCAGCCCCCCGAGCCCAGGGATATTATACATGTAGTACTAGAAACAGAATGTAGCTGGGGGCCTTGCACCGGCTTGTTGAACAAGCTGTGCAGGAATAAAATGCACCAGTGATGCCAATCATCTATGATAATACGAGTTGCAGTGTAACTAGACACAGATTACAGTTTTGGAAAGCTCCTGCTCGAAGTAACACCTTGAAGTTTATTTTTAAATGCTGCTGAATGATAGGTATATTCCCCGCGAACGCACTGTAAAGTAATTATAAACACAAGCCCTCTCACAGAAAAATTCAGAGACTCTCACAGTCAAATTCAAGCATCACCCTGTAGTTAAATTTGGATGGTCCTTCCAGCCTCTCTCCAGCCGTACCTCTGGGCTTCCTCTTTCTCTCCACACACATGGCAGCCCCTTGGGGGCCCTTCCTCAAAATTAAGCCAGAATTTAAATCTAATCCAAGAATTTTTCAACATGGAAGGGAAAAAAATAAATCTGTTTTTCTGTGTATGACTGAAAGTCATACAAATGCTTTTCATTGTTAAAAGAAAATAAACCAGCTTTCATTAGGGAGAAGTTAAGTATCTTAAAATGTTGGTTTTGTTTCGCAGTCCTTATAAATACAAGCACTGTAAAACCCTTCACGTACTGAAGTCAGTAGGAATTTTGCCATGCAGCTTCCTGAGGACCAGGATTTCCTTGTAATTGTGATTGTTGGCAAGTGTGACTAATCCTTTGCTGAAGGAAAAAAAGTTACCGAAAACAACAGCTTCAAACCAATGTCCTGATCTTGCAAGTGCTTCAGCATTCAGGTAAAACCTCTCCTTCCCTGCACCTAATTTCAGGACGTTGTATTTATGCAAGCTTAGGTAAATCATGCTTCGATGCTTGTATCATCAGACCAATCTTGAAGACCTTGGAGATATTAAAAGCTTAAGTGGTCAAGGCTCTGAACGACCTGCCCCAGGCTGAGTCTGTCGTGATCCTCTGCTCCTCCGGCTGGACAAACAACACCCAGAGGTCCCTTCCCACCTGTGTTATTCAGTGACTCTCAATTTTGAAAGTTTGACCGTGTTAATAAAGCTTTCGAGAACCAAACCTTCACTCGAGGTGTACGGAAAAACAGAAGTCCATGTCCTTGCATAGAAACATTAACTACTTTAAGTTATCATCTAGAGTCCAATCACAGTAGTTTCAACAATCTTCGTTCCCATAAAACAAAGCCTGACAATACCACCAGCCATCTCATACCTTCCAGTTTGACTACTTCTTAATACTTAGATGCTTCAGGGTTATTTTAGCAATTCTCCCACTCCAGCAGAAAGCTGGAAAACAGGACACTTCTGCCTGGCTCATTCGAACTCGAGATGACCCTTTACGGCTCACGACGGCTGGCAGGTCAGAGACTACTTTTACATCTCGTAGGTCACCAGCCCAACTGGAAGAGCGCACGCAATGCCTTCGGCTGCTGCCAGGCAGCTGAGGCTTGCACGGGGGTGCCAGCTCTCAGGGTCAATGTCCGTTGGACCCTTAGAAATGTCTGCTCAATGTTATCGGTTTTACATCCTGCTCCAGTAATCCCAGTTCCTCCTGTTTGTTATAGAAACTCCTCGAAGTAAGGTTAAGGCACAGGGCAATGTACAGAGACTTTAATTACCTCTTATCTCACCCAAATTCTTTGCTGGACTAGATAAACCGGCCACGTGCCTACCTAACAACCGAGCTCACCAACAGCAACGCGTTCCTCTCTGCTTCCTGTCCTCCTCCTCTCCGTCCCGCCTCTACAGGCTAACCCAGCCGCCGCTCCTCTTCCTCCACTGAGAACACATAATGCTGACTTCAAATTCTCCAAAATCTATTGCCTAATCTTAAAATGTGCCGGATGAGGAAGCCCTGATTTCAGAAATCTTGCATGCTCCACCTCAGAGTATATTTATGGTAAAGGCTGTACTTCCCATTCCCGCTGCAAAACACTTTTAACAGCCTTGGAGAAAAACACCCCTCCTACCGCAGCCTCTCTAAGCACTTCAGACTGTAGAAAAGTTGATTGTTTTTGACAACAGTGTATATACTTTTTATATCCAGACGAGTGACTTACAGGAGAAGACACACACCTCCTCCCAGGCTAACAGCACCAGGCACCCTAGACCAGTCCCGGTGAACTGTGCTTGAAGGAGGATCGTGCTCCAGTTCCCAGCCCTCCAGAGAAATGGGGCTCCGCAGGAAGCACCCAGCACAGCCCTGACCTTCTTTTAAACTCTCCCCCAGTTACAAAGGTGGCCGGGACATGAACCCCAGGTCTGCTATCTGGGAAGCCTGAGCTCGCTACACCTCCCTGCCTCACCCAGCCGGTCCCACCTAAGCCCCACTCAAATTCTTCTCTTGGGTGGCAGCCGGTAACAACACATCACCATCCGCGTGGGCATTTCCTCTGCTAGCTGGAGTAACGTAGCTGCGCGCGGTACTCAGAGGAGAAGATTCACCTACCTTGGTGGTGACGCCGGCGGAGTATAAAATGCAAGTGCTGAGGGAAAAGGCTGCTTTTTCAGCGCTTGGACAAGATTAGGCTTATATTCTGGATCAACGCACCATAACGAACCTTTTCCATTCACCTGCAAGACAGAAGCACTGCAAATTAGAAAACCCAGGGGCCAGGCTGTGACAGTCATTTCTAATTTAGTATTCCCAAGATGCAGGAAAATGCAATGACACCGGCATCCACTGCTGTACAGCTGATGCACATCATCCTCAGGCCGCTCCATCACCTGCATGGAAAGCGGACGCTCCCAAACTGAGCGCGCGGTCCCGAGACCCTCATTACACGGTATGGAAACACCCGTCTTGCAGCTTGGGATAGCATCTCAAAACTCCTCCTCTAAAGCCCCATTTCCATTCACATCTGTCCGCTGAGAGCTGTAAACCTTACTTAAACACCTGGTAAATACCGCTATGAGTTTGTCTGTCCAGGCATCAGAGAATTGATCACTAGTCTTTTGATGAACAGGTTTCTAAGTGAAACCAAAGTACCTTTCCCTTTACTTAGGTACGGCCACGTACTCATTTAACTTTACACCATCCTGTAAAAGCAACTTGACAGATGCCCAGCTACAACATGGATTATTCCCACTTTTTCAAAACCTGAAAACCTAACTGATCTGTGTATTTTTGATGCACCTAAGGATGTTATCAGCACTGTGCTAGCCATTCCTGGTGTTAAATTTGCTATGTCAAATGCTAAGCAAGACAAAGCACCTCCTGCTCCTCTCAAGGGCTTCTTCACATACATACTATATAAAGAAAAGAAACTGTTTTTTCGAGCCTGCCATTTCTTGCAACACAAAGAGGAAAATTAGATAGGAAACGTTAAAACAATTTTATAATCACTGACCTGATAAATCAGCCAACAGCTCTATGGGTAGCGGCGCTGGGTTTTTTGGGGGGGGAAAACAGATGTTACAGGAGTAGTCATGCACACGGCAGAAGGATGGGGCAGCTCTACACCTGAACAGGAAGGTCTTCCTAGATGTTTTTTGGGGGAAAAGTCTCAGAGCAAAAACCCAAGATTCATGGAGCACATCCTGCGAGTTCCACAGAGGCCAGCCGGCCTCCTCCTGCCAGTATCAAGTGGGTATTAATACCATTTTATGGATGGATACTCCATGACTGATTTAAGATTGAAAAGGACCCACAGAGCATGGAAGTCTGCGATCCCATTTAAATCACAGGACTTTTCCTGAAGAGAGGAAGTACTTTGCTACCAACAGTGAAAAATCAAATCAGGGAGAGCTCCAGCTGAGAAACAAAGAGATGCTGCGCTGTAATTTTAGTTGAAGTCACTGTCCTTCATGCAGATATTGCCTTCATACATACATCTCATGCAGCATCTCTCAGTTATTTGGGTTTTTTTACCTGAAGCTTTCTTATGGGAATCTTTTCACGCTAAAACTGAGTACAGCCTGTAAGATACATATCAAGAAGCCTACCTGCACTGTGCTGGCTAGCAGGGTGATTTAGCTGGATACCTATCTAAATAATAAAGGGGAGTATCCTCCCAACTGGCTCCATCATTATCTCAATGACAGACTAATGCCCTGATTCTTCCCTGCACCTCTCTCGGACCCAGATGCTTTCCCCAGTGTCCCAAACCTGCCCAACTCTGGATATTTTTTACCCCTTTGGTAGCTTTGAGGATGTTGCCCTCAGGGAACAGCAGGAACTTCCCCAACCAGCACAGCACTGCTCTAGACTATTTTACCTGCTACTACAGGCAAGCACTTCCACTTGACGTCTAATGCAGTTCAACTGAGGGCGGAAGCCAGAAAGGCTTAGTTTCCCAGCTTCCATCTTTCCCAGCCATACTCCCACCAGCTTGCTGACCTGACAACGTAACACAAGGATTTTGGGTGGGTATTGCACCAGCGAGCTGAACTGGGGCACAACCTGAAGCCATACAGACACTCGATCCAATGCAAGAGGCAATAAACAGGGTGACTTTTTGTTTGGGTAGTTAGATTGGACTAGGTGTAAGGCGAAACTACACTTCCACCCACCATTATTTTTGTACTAAAAGCAGACATTGAGCAAAAGAGATGATGCCCATGGGGCTGCTCGTGTCTGCCGTCGTGCTTGCATCTGCTGCATAGCAAAGACGTGCAGTGGAAAGACAACACGAGTCCAAAGTTCGTGTCATGCTTTAGGGGAAAGCCATGCACAACTGGAGCTGAAAATCCCACAGAAGACGGATACACCTGGTCTTTAAAACAAACCAGCAGTCTACCCCCAGCAACAAAGACGACCGTGCCATTTCTCCTAGCAAAGACAAAGCTTACATCTTCCAGAATACTGAACTGCCTTTGGAGATTACTATTTCACATCAACAGTGGGGCAACTGCTGATGTGTTAGCTGAAATGTAGATGTAACTTTTATTTACCACCTACTGAAACATCCTTCCGGAGTCAGCGCGGAGCAGCCACCAGACTGTTTTGACTCTCCACTTCAAAATGAGCAGGTCGTTAAAATTGTTCCGAGATGATTTTTTGGTCTGACTGTCATCTCTTCCGCATCTTTCTAACGTTTCTAATTTGACTTGCAGGATTTCATCTAGCCCAAAAAAGAAAACTGGGAAGGAAAATACTTCCTGCATTTGAAGCGTTGGACTACTTCATAACAACAGTAAGCTTGCAGTCCCCAGCGTTCCAGGGCTTGATTATAGCAGCATCGGTTGGGAACAACGTGCCCCCCATGGTGCAGCTTTGTCCTTCACCTTTACCACCCCCCCGCCGCGGTCCCTCCCCTGCTAGCCGTGAAGCTGGACCACCGAGAACGGCCAGACCAGCGAGGAAAGCCCGAGGAGCGACCGAAGCGGAGCAACTCGGCCAGCAGCGGTGGCTGGGGCTCACTGCAGAGGCAGACACCCGTCCCTGCGCTGCAGAGAGCCCTCCGGGAGCTTCAGCCCTGGGCAGCAGCCCCTGCTCAGGTTGGGGCAGTTCTCACCAGCTGCTGCCGCTCGAGCTAGGTGAACCACTGGTCAGTACTGTGTGTGTGCAGGGAGGTACATCATATATACTACTACATATATACATCATATGAGGGCACAACTGAGTATATACTCACGAAGAGGTTTGTCAGGTAACAGACATCTCTCTCCCATCTCTAGATGTTCAAGCCCTGTCCCCCACAACCTCCAGAAGAGACAGCGGCAGGGCCACATCCCTGCCAGCAGCTGAATGCCAAATTGATGTTTGACACAGACGCCGCTCCTGCCTCCTCGCACCTTTTCTCCCCAGTGGTATAGACTAATAAAAAATCCCCAAACCCACAATTGTAAAAACAAGTCTAGCAAAGAGCAGGGGGACTCTTCAGGGCTTCCAACTCCAAACCACTTTTCACTCCAGGTCCTCCCCTGCTGTATAAGCAGACACTGCTCCCTCAAAATAAAGCAATATCCCACCGTAGACGTCCCTCCCCACCGCCCCCCGCTCCAGGCTGTGTGACAGTTCTGAAGGTGCAAAGAGCATTAGCTATGTCTTCTCAGGATTGCTAGCCCACAAGCACACCTCCACATCGTCAGGGGCACCATGGCCACGGCAGGTACGCTGGAAGGCAAGCAGGCATCCCCAGGACCGGCTCCAGCACTGTCCCCTTGCTGCTCATCAGCTCCAGCTTCCAACCACCGTTCCCAGAGAAGCACCAAAACCTCGTTTATCTGGATGACTGCAGACACGAGCCCAACTGCGACTCTAATAAGAACGGGTATTTCAGCTCGTAAGTCTAACAGCTGGGGCACGCCTTGACAAACCACTTAGATAGGGCAGCACCATAATATATGCATACAGAAAAAGTAATGTATATTTTAGTAGGGTGGAGATTCGACGTACATATATCCTGTTTCCATGGCATGGGAAGTTCCTCCTCTCGACTGCAGTGCTGGCTCGTAAGGCATCTCAAGGCAGTAACTTTCCCTTCAGCGCCCTTCAACTCATTAAAACCGTAACGTACAATATTTTTCAGCGATCCAAGCAAGGACAGCCTTCCCTCAAGCTCTGCTGAACGCCATCCTAGACCACCCGAAGGCCGGCAGCCTGCTGCGCCCGGCAGGGCAAAGGTGGCCGACACGAACGTACGTGCAAACAGAAGGACCATCCACAGCTAGGTCTGCAACACGACGTGGCGCAGCTCAGCAGAGACAGCTCTGCGGAGGGAGGGAGTTGGTGCCGGGGGATCCCCCACACGTGCCTTTGGAGGTGTTTTTCACTCCAGATCTGCTGAAGCAGGGTCTCGTGGACAATCCCTGCGAGCAGTGAGGGCACAACAAGCACGCTCCTGGAGCGCCTCTTCCAGGTTAGTGCCAACCAAAGCGAACCCACTTCACGTGTCCCGAAACGGCCCTGCAGTGCCAGCTCACGTGGGGTAGGTAAGGGGGGGAAAATCAGGAGATTCACTTCATAAACGTGATCCCAGTCCAAACCAAAATATTAGTGTTACGGCAGACATGAGGATGGACTCTTCCTACTTTTGCTACCAGACCTCCAAAAGATGATTTCGTAGCTGACGGCCGGCAGCAATAGCCAGGGAGGTGTCAGATGGGGATGCGGGGGCACAGACCCTCCCCTCCTGTCAGACATTCACGTTCCTCTAACACGAGAACCCAGATCCATTTGAAAGGCTTTAAAACCCTTCTTACTCTGACGTTACAAAATAAAACATGCCTCTCTCGTGCAACATGCCATAGGCACCTCTGCTTCCAGGGATACTCGGAATAGGAGAAAGCTGACCACATGCTCCCTTTGAGACACAATCAAGATGCCATTAACAAAGAAAAAAAAAAAGGAAGAAAATACAAGATTACCTTGCCCTCTCAGAGAGGGACACAGAGGCATTGCTAGCGCATGGCTATAGGCAACACAATCAGCAAGACAAGCGTGCAAGCTACAGCCCCTTGCTACAAGAAGTGACACCCAGAGAGCTCACCCAAAGGGGTCTGCAGCCTAAAAAATCCTGCCATCCCCCATGGAATCTGCATGTGCCACGGACTTATGCTGCAGGAAGAATTTGGAGCAGTACCCTCATCTGGTCCTTTTCTAAGCAGGGCAGAGAGTAAAGATTTAACTACTGTGTGTTGGAAATGGGGAAGCTTTGACAAAGTTTCAGGAGGGACTTTTTTGGGGTGGTTTTTTTGGTAAATGCAGTTTCTGTTCTTAAGGATTAGAGTAGTACAGTCTCTAGAGCCTTGGGAAAACACGGATAGCGTACATCAGCATCACCTTACTGGTAGTGGCGGTACCTACTCTACATTTTGTTTTTCCTACTAGAGGTGTCACACCTAGCAGCAAGCCATCCTTTGGCTTTCCTTCAGCCACTCTGAGCCCAACAATACCGGTGGAGTCGGCAGGGTAAGCAGAGGACCAGGCAAGTCTCAAGCTCCTGCCCCCACCCACATGCCAAGACATGAGGTTTGACTGGTAACTCCTAAAGACCAAGGGTTTCCAGGCTGGAAACGACTCAGCTTTAAAGGGCAGATGCACAGACAGCAGGAACTCTTTACACCAGTTTAGGAGATTTCTCTTCCCTGCCCCAATTTTTCTGAAACTCATGTCTCCCTTCCCAGACAGGGCCACCCAGTCCTTTAAGGGCACTTTTGCCATGTGCGGCAGCGTGCGGTCGCTGCTCAGGTCTGCATCCTTCAGGCAGGCACAGCTTGCGGCTCCTCAGTTACTCCATTACAGCACCTGGAGCCTCATTAAAAGCCCATCCTAACACTTGGCAGGATTCTGCTATGGGGGACTTGCCACACAGCAGCAAAAAAAGTCACTTTTTTTTCAGGGCAAAGCTGCTGCTTGGGAAAACACCACCCTAACAATTCAATGTAAAAGCAGGAATACTGAGAAGCGGTGACGTTCAGCCCTACCAGTACAAGGTAGTCCTTCTCCATGCCCACTCAGCTCCAGGACCTCTATCTGCAGCGAGAAACTGTCAAGCATGCCAGGCATTGCATGCATTTCTAATAACAAGCCTGTTACCACTTAGGCTGATGTCCAAGCACATGGTCCAGGATTTGTTTGTTGACTTTTGATATGTGGTTTGTTGGTTTACTTAAGTCAGAGCTGGGTCTTTCAGGAAAGGGAGGGGAAATGAGAGAGGGAGGAAGGAAGTCACTAGTAAAATCAGAGAAGTCTGAAGAAGAAGAAAGAATCTGTACAGAAAAGAGTGTCCTTGACTTTAAGAAGTGAAGCACGTGTCCGCACCACACAGACACGCTGTTACGTTACGGCAGAGGTTAAAGCAACGCAGTATATTAAATGCAGGAATTAAGATGTTTATTCAGAAGCTAGAGCTGTGCTAACTATAAAAGATGGCAAGTGAAAAAGTCAGTTTAATATTCAAGACCGCTTTCAGACCGAGAGACGCTCGGCCACGTGCAGACAACGCGCCCACAAGCGAGGGCACCCTGCGGGGAAGCTGCTTGGCGTCCCGCGACCTCTTCTGATCCCCGGCGCGGTCGTAGCCCCGTGCTGGAAAAGCAGGGAAGGAGGAACACGCCCTGAAATGTCAGCATGGGAAAGTAGAGAGCGCACCAGTTTTAAGAAGCTTTATCGAAAACGCATCCTAAAGACAAGGTGTTTGAAACTTCAGGCCGGGTACCGCAGGCTAACAAAATCGTAAGTGGAAACGGGGCCCTCTGCAACAGCGTGTTAGCCAGCTTTAAAAAGGATGCACCACAGCCAGCTGTACCCAGGTCAGCACTAAACAACAAAAACAAGTGACTTTTGTCATCCTGTGATTTCTCAGATATGGCATGCCCATACCCTCTCGAGCTGCAAATAAAGTGTTAGAGGATGAGGCGGGGGGGCGGGGGAGGAAGTCCTCGAGAAGAAAAGTCTTTTCCATTTCCCCCTGAATTTCAACCTTGATCCACCTCCCTCCTGCCAGGTCTCACCTTGCCATGGCTTCTCTCCACCTTTCGGAAACACTTGTTCAAGGAGAGGTTGTGTCGGACCGAGTTCTTCCAGCCGGTGGGTGCCGTGGCGAAGTAGGGGAAGCGCTCCAGGATCCAGCTGTAGATTTCTTTGACTGGCAAGCTCTTGTTGGGGGAATGCTCGATCGCCATGTAAATGAGAAGGCTGAAAGAGTAAGGGGGTTTGGAAGTGGAGGATTTTTTTTCGGGGTTCTGGTAGCAGGACGGTGAGAAGGATGGCACGTTGTCACCCTCAATGTCATATAAGGGACTAACAATTGGAAGACCCTCACTTCCGAGGCTGAAGTTTGTTAGAAGGTTAGTACTTTCATGCAGCCAGTTCAAATTTGTGAGTTCATCATCTGCTGAATCTCTGTCCACCACAGTGGCCTTTGGCCTGCCGGCATCGCCTGCATCGGGCAAGCTTCCCATCCCATGACACTGCCGTAGTCCTGCAGCTTTTTCTGCTCCTGGCGTTTCAGCTTTCTTATCTGGAGTCATTCCAGTGACTGGACCCATTTAGCTTTATTGGTCTGCAACAAAGGAGACAATCAGAAATCAATGCAAATCTTCAAAATCACGTCCAGCGGCAGCCCACCAAACCTAAACACAGTGCTGTACCGTCCCCACCACCGTGCAGGGATATTGCGGTCGCTGATGAGGGCCAGGGTCCAACACAAGCCTTCCTGTAATCTCATGAGCACATCTTAGCTTCCCCTGGTTTATAACCAGAACTTACGGTAAGCACTTGGAAACTGCTGTATCTATCTTTAAACGCCAATTTGGATACAGAAGTAATACCTGTTTTGATGTCAACATCTGAAATCTGAAAAAGACCTTAACAGGTAGGTTCTAACCCATTCAGCTCTCACATTAACTCTTTAGTTATTATATTGTAAATGACCCTATTTAGAAGTGTTTGCCTTTGGTGCCCAAAGAGTGGAAAAATAAGCTGCAAAACCTACATCAGCATAAAGTGCATTTGTGGTCTCAGCACAAATGAAGTCTTTACAACCCCCGACAAGTCACAGTCATTCCGAAGTACTGCCTCCTGTTTCCACCAGGGAAAGATCTGGCCAGCCCACTGGTGCAGCTGGGTCCCAGGAGAGCTGCCCAGGTCTGGAAGACTTTCTTTCTCCTCCTGCAAGGGCTTGCTGCTCCAACCCTGGCTCCTTGCAGAGCAGAGGGTGGTGGGACCAGCTCTTAACAGGACAGGGCCATCCGCTGGGGCAGCAGCTCAGACCTGTTGCAGGCTGGTCATAGCTGACTACATGCTTGGAACTTTTCCCTAAATGAAAAAAAAATATATATAAAATATAAAATTCTGTCTATTAAAGACTGCCACCCAGAATGCACTGTCTAACAGGCTGTCCATGTTTTAGAGGCATTGTACTAACAAAAAGCATCTTCTTGCTCATAGAGTTTTAAAAGGGGTCATCTAGCAAACTATGTTATGCTAACAGCTGTTTTTTTTCTGCTGGTATGACCATGTTAAGAGCTTCACTGCACTTACAGCTTTGGCCAACATAACTGTACCAGGAGTACAGGCCAACAAAACCACTCTAAAGATGGCATGTGTATATCTATCTATCTATCCATCCATCCATCCAGGGGCTGTACCAGCCTGCTATAAACATAAGGCACTCCGACTATGGATGCAGTTTACCAGCAAAGCTGAGGTTTGTATTAACTGTAAAAAAAAAAACAAAAAACAAAAAA